GTGTGCCCTGCTTACAGCATCCCGCGTCCATCCATGCTCAAGTGTGTATGCTCAGGGTGAGTGTGGGGGCCAGGACCACCACCCTCAGGTTGATTCTCATGGAGGGTATGCAGTGGTGTGGGGCTCCAGTAGGCGGGGGGACTGGCACCCCATCAGAGTCCCCAGCTGACCAGAGAAACCTAAAGACAGTGTCCTCACATTCAGCCACTCACCCTCAGCGTACGCCCCTCCCGTGGCTTTGGAAATCTGTCCCTGTCCCCGGGAAGTGTGGGGACCCCTGTCACAGGGTGTAGCAAGGGAGCAGACACACTGGTTTTCTCAACAACCCCAGCTGGACAGGGACTGGCCCCTCCCCAGACCTGAACCGAGGTCACTGGCTCTGGGCTAGTGTGAGGGGTAGACGGACAGGCAGATGGGCAGGCAGCACACCATGGGGCTCAGTCCTCCCGCCAAGTGGGCAGCTAAACCAACAGGCCCAGAAACCCGAGAGGGATGAGGGCCTGGCTGTCCATCAGTCTGTCTGTTTGTTTGTTTGTTCTGGCCTTGTGGGAACTTCCAGCCTGCAGGGGGCCCTGGTGCCCCACGGGGGAGCCAGGGGTGCTACCCCCAGGCCGAACTGACAGCCCCATCCGGCCTGGCTGTCCCTCGCGCCATCTCCCCCATCTGTCCTCCTGGGCATGGGGCCCAGAAGACGGCACCCAGCATGCGGGGGTGCAGCGAGGCCCCAGCAGCCCCGAGGCTGCAGCCCAGCTGTGCACGGCTGTGCGCACCAGGCTGTCCCCTTCAGGCTTTCAGGGGGTCTGGTGTCACAGGGGGCGCATGCCTCTCTGTCCTGCTCATCTTCTCTCCCCTCCCCCCCCCCCCCCCGCACCCCGCACCCCTTTCTCCCTCCCCCCATGTCATCTCCTCTGGAGCCTCAGCCCTTTAGGAGTGCTCCGCCCACCCCCACCCCCCAGCCAGGCTTAAGTCAGACCCTGAGATGCATCACCCCGGAGCAGGTGGAACTGGAGTTCCAGCAGAGCCCCAGGTGACACCCCAGGAGGGTTGAGGGGGGCACCTGCACCCCCTCGCTGACCAGCACCTCCTCAACCTCCCAGCTGGCAGGCACTGAACTGTTTCTAACTTCTGGGCTCTTGCCAAGTTCCCCAACACTCCCATATGGTTAGACCCATTTGGGGAACCTCCATCCCCTGCATGTGAACCCCCCTCCATGGACCTGGGGCTCCCCCGCCAGGGTGCCTGCCTGCTGTGTGCTTCACCCCGCACACCCCACAGATCTCAGGGGCTAGCACAGAGGCTTGGGTAAAGGCTACGGGGGTGTGGGGGTGTGAACCTGGGGACTGGCTCTCAGGAATCGGGGGTTTGGGGAGGGAAAGGCCAAAGGAGCCTGCACTCTCTCAGGCACGGAGACCTCCCAAGCCGGGGGACAGGATGACTGCCTTGTCCCCACCCCCAGATCATTGCCAGCAGCGTGGCAGGGGACTTGCTCCAGAACCCAGCCCTGCCCTGCCCCTCCCCAGTTACACTCCCCAAAGGGGATGCAGCACCCCCAGACCCCAGGAGTCAGCAAAGCCACTAGCCTGGCAGACAGTGCTAGCAAGGGGAGAACACGAAATGTGCTGCATAGAACCCAAGGGACACTCAGTGCTTCTCTCATCCACAGCTGACAGTGTCCCCACCAGTCATCAAGTCAGGTTGGCCCCATCTGTTTGCCTCTGGGCTGGGTTGCTGCTCACCCAAAGTGTTTCCCCTCCCCACCCCCCACCCAGCGCAAAGCCTAGGCTGCTGCCTTGTCACACGGAGCAGCTTCCTCAGAAGGATGCAATGGAATCGCTGCTCCAGGCGCCAGCCGGCATCAGACAGGTGAGCACTGCCGGGCATGGAGGACCCCTGCCAGCCTCTGTCAGTTCCCACTAAAGTCACTCCCCTCTAACCGCCCCTGTGGAGACCCCTGATGACCCGGGTTATAGCTCCAGTCCTGGTGCAGTATCCTGCAGAAAGGACCAGAGCAAACTGCTCCTACGAGGGGAAAGAAAGGCTTCCTGCGAGCCCCCTGCCGCCTGTCCAGGCAGCCTGAAGTCACTTTGTGGTGAATCCGTCCAGAAACAAATTCATGCTTCTCTTCATCTGAGTCCTTCAGAGCCGCTTAGTTCCAAAGCCCCGCTCCAAGCACTGGTTCCCAGGAAGGTGGTCCCCAGTGCGCTCCCGGTTATCACGTACTAGAAGCTGTACAGATCTGCATTGGCATCTTCGTGCAGTGGCTTCCCAGGGCCCGCCACCATGCAGGGGCAGCGGCATGCACCCAGACTCAAGGATACCGGGTGCAAAGGAGGCTCGGGGAGCGCCTGCCAGAAAGACGCGAGAAAATGCCGGTTCTTCCCGGGGCTGCCAGCTAGCCAAGAGAATGGAGTAGACTGAGCGCTGTGGGCGCCGTCTGTGGAAGCGCCCTTAGGATGGACGGAGCGTCAGAGGCGGGGGTGTCGCAGCCAAAGAGCGTGGGGAGGCCTGTCTGGATGGCCCCAGGCAAGTGCCTCTGGGGAGGCGGAGCTGGGCAGGGCCAGGCTCCAGGGGCCGCCTCCTGCTTGTCGAGGAGAGACGGCAGCTCCGGGCCCAGCTTCGGGCGGGCTGAGCGCGGGGGCTGGGAGTCCGGGGGGCATTGGGGGAGCTCGGCTCCTAAGGCCGTGCTGCGGCACACGGAGCGCCGCTCCTCCCGGGGAGAAGCTAAGGTCTGGCCTCTCGTTGTGCCTCCACTGCCAGCGCTCAATCCCGCCCTGCGTGAGCCTAGTCAAAGCGCAGCCTCGGTTTTGGGGCCTGTGAAATGGTCTCATGAAACCGCCCGCCCACAGCCAACCTGCGCGGGGACATGCGGGTGTGGGCCGCGCTCTGTGTGCCCGGCAGAGGGGCAGCGCGCGCCGCCGGCACCCTCCCGCTCCCGTCGCGCTGCGGACCCGGAGCCCGCGCGGCTCTCGGGCCCCGGCCGTGCCCAGCCCTCGGGGCCGGCGCTGGCCGGCGCCCAGCCGGGCCTCCTACCTCGTCCTGGAGGCGCGGCCGGCAGGGGGAGCGAGGCGGAAGGGAGCCCCGCTCGGTCCAGGTGAGGGAGGAAGACTTTCTGCGGGCGGCTGCGCGCGCGAGCGGGCGGGCAGGGGGTTGCGGGCGAGGGACCATCCCAGCGCGCTCCCGGGGGCTACGCGGCAGGCCCTCGGCGGGGCGTGGGAGCCCAGCCCCCGGGGCTGCGGAGGCGCGCGCCTGCGGGAGCCCTTTTCACTCGAGAAGTCCCGGAGGGCCGGGGCGTAAGCTGCCGGGGCGGGGGTCTGCGAGGATCGCTACCGGTGAGTACAGACAGCAGAGCCCGTCGGGTCCGCCTGCCGGCCCTCGGGCGCCACCGAGGTGGGGCTCCTTCCTGCTTCCTCAGTACCTGGCAGCTCAGGGTCTGCCCACCCGGGGCGGCAAAGTTCTCTTTGCCCCGAGGTTTTGCCCACCAGTCTTCCCCTCCCCCTCCCCCGCACCCTTCCGCAGGTCCCAGTCCAGGCACGAAGGGGTTAAGGAGGGGCTGGGGGGCTCCCTGCACGACCACACCTCCTCCCTTACCCAGGACCAGATCTCAGGATCCAGGCCCAGGACGCTGACCGGAATATTCAGGAAGCCTCTCTCCACTTTCACTTCTCCCCTCCTGACACCCAAGCACCCCCAGACCAGGGTCTGGTCACTGCATGCAAGTGTGGGGCTACAGGCAGCTGGCAGGCTCCCCAGGCACCTAGCACCCCGCCAGCTGGGGCAGAATGCACCCAAAATGATAGGAGGCCAGCAGTGGAGAGAGCCCCACCCCACCTGTCCCCACACGTGCAGCCTCACCTGCAGACCCCCAGCTTCTCCTGGGTGCGCCCTCCCTCAGGCACTGGCATCTCTGCCTGCTGCCCACTCATCTTCAGCCCCTTTTAGCTGGCCACCCCTCCACCCTCCATCCTTGAAAAACAGAAACGCTACTGGGCCCCTGGAGGCAGGGACTGTTCCCGCTTGGGGTAAAGGGACAGGAGACCTCAGCCTGCAGTTGTCTGCCTCACATTCTTGGCTCTGGCCCTGAGTCCCAGTGTCTCTGCCACTCTCCCAGCCCTGAACGGCCACTCAGAAGCAGGGGACATGCTCTGAGGACAGCAGCCCTTTCCAGAGCTGCAGCCGCGGTGAGGAGGAATCAGTGCATCAGGTCACGCACACCAGACCCCACACAGCCAAGGTACCCCGTATTCTTACCTGCCACAAGCACAGTCCCTCGTCTACCTGGACCCCAGGCCAAGTCCTAGTCAGCTCCACCAGCCCCAGCTCCTGGGCCCTCCCTGCCTCCCAGCTCAAACCTGGGGTGCTAGGATTGTGGACACCCCGAGAGAGGCTGCCCTCCTCTGATCCCATCGCACGCTGTTGCTGAACAAGAGGCCGCAGAACCAGGGCGTTGACCATCAGATCCTGGGTGCACGGTCCAAGAGGTTCCCTGAGGGCCGACAACCTGATGCCCTGCAGGGTCTCTCTGCACCAGAAGGCCACCGATGCCCTGAACTGGTCAAAAGAAGTCCCAGAGGCAGTAGGTGGGGGACGATGTGGGCATGAGGCCTTTGGATCCAGAACGCCAGTGCCTAGAGGCCTGGAGGCTCTGGGCAGACCTTGCCTTACTCTGTTGGGCACCGCGGCAGTTGGGTCTTCCCAGGCCGCCAGGCTGGCCAGGCGGCGGGTGGTGGGAGGCAGCAGCACCAGCTCGGCCACCACGGCCTGAACTTCTCCGATGTGTCCTGGGCTCCCTCGGCCACTCGAGGCCCCGCCCCCCGCCCTCCCTGCGCCAGGCCGGTGAGCGGGGAGGTCGGAGGAGCGGGCACTGCCCACCCTCCGGATGTATAAGCGTCCTGGCCAGAGGCGGGCGGTGCGCGCCGGGTGCGCGAGACGCTTGCTCGGGGCTCCTCCGGGCTGGACGGCCTGGGCGGCGTCCGTCCCTGAGCTTGGGGTCCTTGGCCGCTACGGCGAGCTGCCCGAGTGGGGTTGGGTCCCGTCCGGCTGCACCAAAGACAAGACGACAGCACGGCCCTGGGATTGGCCGCCAGTGCCAGCGGGTGCCCGCGCCTGAACTGCCCTCTCCTCACTCAGGTGCAGGGGCAGCCGGGGAGGCTGCGGGAGGGCACGGGCAGGGCTGGGCCCAGGCAGCTGGGCAGCGCTTCTATTGGCACCCCACTGCCAGGGGCTGGGGCTGGGCACTCTGTATGGCTGCCTCCTCTCCAGGGTTATGGGGCCAACGGTAGCTTCGCCGGACAGAGGGAAGCCTGGCCTCGGCGGGTATAGAGGATGTTCCAGGGGCGGTGGTTACAGAGGTCTCTGGGAGTGGGGGAGCGCGGGGACAGGGCCTTGGAAAAGTAGGAGGGGCCCCTGCTCCCAGGGTGCGCCAACCTTTGGGGCCCCTTGTTGGCCCCTGGAGCCTAGAGTAGGGGGCCGCCGCCACGCCATCATCCCGCAGGGCCCGGGGCCTGCGGCTCTGAGTGGCACCGCCGCCCCCGCCCCCGGTCCCGTGTGCTGCTGGGTGCACGCAGTCGGAGGCGGCGCCGGCCAGGCCGCCGGGCGCCTATGGACGCGCGCAGCCCGCTGTCTCCTCGGGCCAGCGCGTTCAGCATCGCCTCTCTGGTTGCAGCTGGAGCGGAGCGCACCACTCGCCTGGGCCCCGGGTCCTCTGACCCGCTGAAGCTTCGCCGGCTGCTGGGATCCCCGGCCGGGATGCACTTCAGCACTGTCACCAGGGACATGGAAGGTGAGCTTCCCACAGCACAGCTCCAGGGACCTGCCCGGTGAGGGACTGCGTGGCGGCGGGGCTCCAGAGTTGGCAGAGCTGGGGCGCAGAGAGAGTGCAGGGAGCCCTTTGGAGGTGAGCTCCAGGCTTCTGGCTTTGAGGCCGGGGCAGAGGGCAATCGGGTAATCCCAAGCAGCCCCGGGCTCGGAGAGACCCCCACGGAGCTGCAGAAGGGCGCCCACAAGGGCTAGTGGGAACGGGAAGAACAGGGGAGGAGGGGCGAGGAAGGTGCGCAGAGGCGGCTCAGAGCGCGGGGAGGTGGGAGGGAAGCGGGTAAGAGAGAGTCAGAGAACCCCGGGAAAGGAGTGCGAGGAAGAGGGAAAGGAGTGAGGGAAAGCTGCGAGGGCAACCGCGGAGAAAACGAAATCGAGAACAGGAGCTAAAACCTGAAAAGAAGGTAGGAGAACGAGAAAGATGGGGTGGAGAAACAAGAACAAAAGAAGAATGTGAAGAAACATTGAAGACAGAAAGTGGAGTCATAAAAAAATAAGTTAGGCATTAAAAAATCGGGGTTTTGTTTTTCTTTAATGGGGGGCTGGCAGATGCCACGAATAACAGAGAAGGAACTGCAGAAAATAGGAGGCGAGAGACAGATGAGAAGAAAGCGATGGGGGGGAAATGCAAAGAAAAGGAGAGGGACCCACGGGCTGGGGGAGGAAGACGCGTGAAAGTAAAACAGAAATGCAGAGAAACGAAAGAGGATGGGAGAGGGAAGGCGATGAGGAGGGAAAATTTAAATGAGGAAGACAAAGGTAAGGAAATAACAAATGGGAAACGGAGCAGCACGGGGAGAAACGCAACGCGGGAGGGCGGCGAGCGAGGGGCGGCGGACGGCCCGGCGCTCCGGGGAGCCGGTCCGGGCGGTCGGGGGGCCCGGGCGAGCGGGCGGCGGCGGGCTGGGGGCCGGGAGGGGGAAGGGGCGGGGAGGGGCGAGGGCCGGGGGAGGGGAGGAGGCCATTGTCTGGGCGCGGGGCGGGGGGGTGCGCGGGGCGGGGCGGGGCGGGACGCCTCCTCGGGGCCGGCCCGCGGTGTGGGGCGGCGCGGCCCGGGGCGCAGCGCAGCGCGGCGCCCGCCACTCGGCCCGCGGCGCGGGGCAGCGCTCACCTCGGCGGCCCGCGGGTCATGATCTCCGCCGTGTCCAGCCCGTGGCTCACGCAGCTCTCGCACTTCTGCGACGTTGCAGCCTTCACGGCCAGCAGCCTGAGCAGCCTGGGGGCGGCGGGGGGCTTCCCGGGCGCCGCATCCCCGGGCGCCGACCCGTTCGGGCCGCGCGAGCCCCCGCCGCCGCCGCCGCCGCGCTACGACCCGTGCGCCGCCGCCGCCGCCCCGGGCGCCCCGGGCCCCCCGCCGCCGCACGCCTACCCGTTCGCGCCGGCCGCCGGGGCCGCCGGGGCCGCCAGCAGCGCCGCCGCCGAGCCCGAGGGCCCCGGGGCCAGTTGCGCGGCCGCCGCCAAGGCGCCGGTGAAGAAGAACGCCAAGGTGGCCAGCGTGAGCGTGCAGCTGGAGATGAAGGCGCTGTGGGACGAGTTCAACCAGCTGGGCACCGAGATGATCGTCACCAAGGCCGGCAGGTCAGGGCGCCCCCCTCCCCGCCCGCGACCCTCCCCAAGTGGCGCCGCCCTGGCCCGGTTCCCGAGAGGCTCGGTGGTTGGGGACCACGCGCCCGGCCACCTGCGGGCGCCTCTTCGCTCTCCGCGGTCCCGGCTCCAGCGTCAGCCGCCTTGCGCGCTGGGCCGGGAGGGCACGACCACACGGTCGGTCGGGGAAGGCCGGCGCGCAGAAGCCAGGAGGGACCGACTTACTCGCCCCGCAGCCCCAGGACGCCAGGAAGCCGGGGCCGGTTAGGAGATCGGAGATCACCCCACTGCCGCCTTGGAGGGGCCTGGCTAACCTTCCGCGGCTGCCACCTCAGAGAAAACGTCCCTCCCGGGTTCCCTACGGTTCCTCACTTTTTGCTAGCTGGGCCAGAGAAAGAGGGGCCACTGACAATGATCAGGAAACTTGTGGGAGAGAATTAAAAACTTTTTAAGCACCGAGCTCTGTTTGGTGGAGGCTGCTGCCTGTTTTTCTCAGGCCTCCATTCTGGGTGACTGCGGGTGCTGGCCACGCTGCCCCTGCCTGCCGTGTTGCCTTCCGACTGGCTCATATTTGTTTTAAGGGCTCAGGGAGAAAGGGAACAAGTTTTGCGATGCAGCCGATTTGACCAGCAGACAAAGGCGGGTGCTGGGTTGTGTCTAATGTACACACGGAGACAGTGTCCGTGTAGTGCAGGGTTGCTCGGGCCTGTTTGCAGAGCCCTCTCTGTGCATGCTTTCTGTTTCCCTACTGGGCCCTCCTCCCCGGGGAGCCTGGGCCTGTGATCTGCTCCAGCACCCCACTCTTCTCTGGCCTCGGTTCCCCGGTGCACGGGGGCTGGCTGCCCTGGGCTTCCCGCAGACCAGACCGGCAAAGGTTTCTGGCAGTGGCCAAGTTTCCTCGGGGAGTGGGCATTCTGCAGCACCTCCACTGCCCAAAGAGACAGGGCAGCAGGCCTGAATGGTTGGGGGACTCCATGACATTTTCTTCCTGGCTTCCCAAGAGAGTCGCCTCTTAGAGAAGCAGTGGGAAGGCCAGGTGGAGGCGAGCCTTCTGAAGCTAGCCCACCAGGACAGGGCCTGCCCATGGCCCCCGCTGCTTATCCGGGAACCGCACTGTCATTATTTCAGAATCCCTGATGAGTCACTAGTCAGGGTCCCGGGAAGGGAGATTTAGGGGACCAGGAGGGCACAAGGAGCAGCACGGGGAGGAACGATGTCTTGAAGTTGCTGAGGGGGGGGTGGGGGGAGAGAGATTGTGAATCTGGAAAAAAAGGGGGTACTCGAGCACAGGACGTTGGTCTTAGGAGCTGGCAGTGTCAGAACTAGGTATTCCCAGACCTCACCCTGCAGAGGGACTGGGGAGCAGCTGCCTACCCAGGAGGAAAGAGCAGCCGGTATTCCTGGGAGTCACCCAGACCACCCCGGTTTCACTTTGTTCGAGCCGGGAGCTGCTCCCTTTTAGCTTCCGAGGGAGGCCAAGAAACTCAGACTGGCCAGGCTTGAAGTCCTGCTGTGCCCACCAGCTCACCCACAGAGGTCCGGCATGGCACGGCCACTCAGAACCGAACCTCTGGGCCTGTTTTTTTGCAGGCGGAGGTGACAGAACCGATAGACCGAGCTGTGGGTGCAGAGACTCCCGATTGCGCACTGTCAGCCGGTTTTTTCCTGTGTGCTCGGTTCAATAAGGGGGGTGGGGGGGTTGTCTTCTTATGCTTCTTGCCTGTGGCAGGGCAGGGTGAGAGCCCCTGAATGTGAGCAGCAGCTCTGGGGGGATGGGGGGGCAAAGGGAATGGCCTGGAAGAAGGGTTACCAGTATCCAGGGCTGGCTGGTCAACGGGTTGCTGACCTCCCCTACCTGAGGTGACCCAAGACCCCACCACCCCCAGGCGTATGTTCCCCACGTTCCAAGTGAAGCTCTTCGGCATGGACCCCATGGCCGACTACATGCTCCTCATGGATTTTGTGCCTGTGGATGACAAACGCTACCGGTGAGTGCCTAGACCCAGGGAGCAGGCCCTCGGAGGCACCCCAGAAGCACAGGCCCAGCTGGGTGGTGCCCCCAAGATCAGCCCATGCCATTAGTGACCAGGTGGTCCCAGGCATCTTCACCATCTGCCCCCTCCCCCACTCCCACCCCCACTCCCATGTGTTCTCAGGATATTCAGCTGGTTGAGCCAGCCGCTCTCAGCATAGGCCCCAGACAGCTCCCTTATACCCAAGTCAGCTTGACCCAAAGCAGTTGGCCCCTCCTTTTACCGCTCCCTCTTTCAGAGATGAGTGCGGGTATCTTATTCCCTTCCCCCACCCCTCAGAACGCTGGGTCCCCAGAGCCGGGCAGGAAAGGTGGGGTGGCCCAGAGAGATTATACAGGGCGGGCCTGAGTTGCTTGGACAATTAACAGCAATTAATAAAGAGAATGTGGACCGCCCTCACCCCAGGCGGCCCACACGGCCACTTCAGGTCCGGAATGCAGGGTCCTGAACTGGGGCTCCTGAGGGCAGGGTCTCTAATGCAAGTTCCTGAGTGCGGGGTCCCAAATGGTGGATCCCGAAGCACCCGGGGGCATGAAACCCATCGGGAAAGCCCCAACCCGCATGCAGCGAAATGTGTCTGCCTCACAGCCTGACCTCCCTCCTTTCCCTTGCTCCCAGCGCAGCCTCTAGGGTATTTGTATGGGGGAGTTTCCTGTTTCCTTCAGCCCCCTCCTCAGAAAAGCTCCCGGCCCAACAAAAGCTGCAAAGCTTGGGCTTGCTGTCACTGCAGCGAAACAGCAGAGGCATGGGGGCGTGTGTGGGGGGCACATCAGGGAAACAGCAGAGACATGGGGGGGGGTAGGGTTCTCTTGGCCAGGCCCTCTCACCTTACCCCAGCCTGGCATGCTGGCCTGACCTGAGTCCGGTGTTGCCCTAGGTATGCCTTCCACAGCTCCTCCTGGCTAGTGGCAGGTAAAGCTGACCCCGCCACGCCCGGCCGGGTGCACTATCACCCCGACTCCCCAGCCAAGGGGGCCCAGTGGATGAAGCAGATTGTGTCTTTTGACAAGCTCAAGCTGACCAACAACCTGCTGGACGACAACGGCCATGTGAGCACCCCCTCACCTGGGACGCCACCCCCCTGGGCTGCCCGAAATAGGGCTGAGGCAGAGCTTGGGGCCTGGTGGACGAGAGTGGGGGAAGCGTCTGGGGCTCCCAGGGTCTGGCAGGCCTGCAGAATGGGGTGAAGGGCCGCCTCCTTCCTCATCCTGCTCCTCATCTTTCCTTGGTGGTTTCTTAATAGGAAAGGATGATTGGGAGAGGCTTTTCAGAATGTTCAGGAGGCTTTTCAGAATCCAGTTCTACCCCAAAACTGCAGGACCCCTGCAGTCCCCTGCGGGGGGGGGGGGAGGGCGGCCCCAAATATTCAGAGGTCTGGAAACTGAGAATCTGAAGACCCGCATCTTACAACTATTTTACAGCATCTCTCCTGTTAGTTCCCTGTCAGTTGCAACCACTTCTTGGGCTAGTGGGACCCACCGGTTCATTGGGGGATGTGGGGGGGGGGGGGAGGTGAGTTAAGGATTTTGGTAAATCCTCTGGGAAATTCACTGCTCTATTCAGATCGCAATGCTTCTCTTGGCCCTGATCTTGCTACCTTTACTTCCAGATCATTCTCAACTCCATGCACAGATACCAGCCGCGGTTCCACGTCGTCTATGTGGACCCTCGGAAAGACAGCGAGAAATATGCGGAGGAAAACTTCAAAACCTTTGTGTTCGAGGAGACGAGATTTACTGCTGTCACTGCCTACCAGAACCACCGGGTGAGCCGCCAGGCCGGGCGGCAGGTCTAGCCTTCCACGGGGTGCCACTTTCCGCAGCAGACCCTGGGCGGGGGACAGGAACTTTGGCCCGGAGTACTCGCAGGTCCCTGTGGAACACATCCCAGATGGAGCCCCAGGGCGGCGGCAGCCCCCTCCCCAGGCTGCAGGACCCACGGCCTCCTATCAGGTTGACCTCTCGGACAGCAACTGTCACTGGGGGCTCAAAGTTTGTTTTCCAAACCATTCCGGAAACTCCCCCGTCAGGGGCGTGAGCCGCAGTTTACCCGGATTCCTGGAGTGACCCTCCGCTTGGCCCCCAGAAGGTGGGGGCGGCGGAGAAGACCGCGTCGGATCCCAGGCAGGGGTACAGGAGCCACTTGGGAGGAAAAGAGGGGTTCAATATAGAAACCAGCCGTTCCCCCCAAGACCCCCTGACGCTGGGGGAGAGGCGCGCTTCAGGGAGGGAGCAGGCGGTGTAGTCTGGGTCGTGTTCTCAGAGGGCGGAGGAGCCTTTCCCGCCAATGCTCCCCTCGCGGCCGCGGGGCTGCTTCTTTTCCCTGACTCCCGCTTTCCCGCAGATCACGCAGCTCAAGATCGCCAGCAACCCTTTCGCCAAAGGCTTCCGAGACTGCGACCCTGAGGACTGGTGAGTGACCTGCGCGGGGAGGACGAGCGCCGGAGTTCCTCGCCCCGCGCGTCCCTGACCCGCCTCCCGCCCGCAGGCCCCGGAACCACCGGCCTGGGGCGCTGCCGCTCATGAGCGCCTTCGCGCGCTCGCGCAACCCCGTGGCCTCCCCGACGCAACCCAACGGCGCGGACAAAGGTAGGACTCGGGTCGTGGGATCGGGGCCGCGGCCTCGCGCGCGCTCCGCCCCGGGCCGGCGGCCGCGCCCCGCCTCGCCTGCGCCCCCGGGGCGCTCGCGGCCTTCGCGCCGGTTGCACAACGGCCACGGCGGCGGGCAAGCGCGCACTCGCCCGCCCGGCCCGACGGCTGCGCCCCGCCCGCCCCGCCCGCCCGCCGCTGCCGCCCGCGGAGGGGCGCGGGCCCCCGGGGAGGGCCCGGGACTCCCGCAGGTTCGCCGAAGAGGGGCGGGGAGCCCCCGGCTGCGGCGCCCGCCTCCTTCCGCCGCGCTCGCGGCTCCCCGCTGCGGCCGCCGCCCCTGAGCTGCGCGCACCCCTCGGGCTCTGTCTCCGCAGACGCGGCCGAGGCCCGGCGAGAATTCGAGCGCGACGCGGGAGGCCCGGCCGTGCTCGGGGACCCGGCGCACCCGCCGCAGCTGCTGGCCCGGGTGCTGAGCCCCGCGCTGCCCGGGGCGCCCGGCCCGGGAGGCCTGGTCCCGCTGCCCGGGGCGCCCGGAGGCCGGCCCAGCCCCCCGCACCCCGAGCTGCGCCTGGAGGCGCCCGGCGCGTCCGAGCCGCTGCACCACCACCCCTACAAGTACCCGGCCACCGCCTACGACCACTACCTCGGGGCCAAGAGCCGGCCGGCGCCCTACCCACTGCCGGGCCTGCGCGGCCACAGCTACCACCCGCACGCGCACGCCCACCCGCACCACCACCACCCCGCCGTGAGCCCCGCCGCCGCCGCCGCGGCCGCCGCCGCGGCCGCTGCCGCCGCGGCCAACATGTACTCGTCGGCCGGAGCCGCGCCGCCGGGCACCTACGACTACTGCCCGAGATAATGCGGGCCGGGTCCCGCACAGCGCCCGCGGCCGCTGCGCTCCCGGCCAGCCGCCCCAGGGCCGGCAAAGAACACGTCTCCCCAGGTCCCCGGGGCTCCCCGCGGCCCTCCGCCTGCCCCCCGCAAAGCCATCGGGGGCCTCCACCCTTCAGCCCCAGCCCCCGCGCCCCACTCCCCGCCCGGGGGCCCCCGCGGGTCCCCCCACCCCCGAGTCCCGAGGGCCACAGGGTCCGCGCCCGCAGTGCCAAAGCGCCGGTCAGCGGCGGAAGGAAGTGATATTTATTGTTCTCCGCGAGACCGTGTCGCCCCCCCCCCACCCTGCTCCCCCGCCCGGCCGGCAGTTGCAGTGTAGACGACCCGAGAGCCCCGTCTGCAGGCGGTGTAGATACGTGTAGATAATGTATAGATACTGTAGATACCGAGCCGGCGTCGACGATAAACGGTTTCGCCTCTTTTGGAAGCCGCCTGCGTGTCCGTTTTTTGTGTGTGTGGATGGGGATGGGGACTGGGGCAAAGTGAACTGGATGGACTAGGGGACTTAGGGTTTCCCCAGCCCAAAGTCCCACAGGCCGCACAGATGGGGTCCTAGGGCTGAGCAAGCAACCCAGCTCTGCGCCCCTTACCGGCCGGCCGCTGCTCACCCGGGGTCGCAACCACCTCTGGCCCCGCCCCGCCTTCGCCCCTCCCCCGCTCTCCTCCGGACGCCGGGTCCCGCTGTCCGCAAGCCTCGGTACCCCGCTCCGCCCCGCAGCGCATCCACATCCTTTACTTAACCTCCCTCTGCTAGGGTTGGGGCCCTTGGGGGTCGGACGCTGCCCTGCCCGCCTGCTCTCCCGCGGCCCGGGAATACCGACGGCGGGCCCTGTCGGGAAGGGACAGAAAGACAAAAACAGGCAGTTATGCTCTTCTAGCATTTCCCCTGGCCCCCCGCCCAGGCCTGCCTTTCCCCCTGTTTATTGACTTTATTCGATGTGAGTGTCCCCCCGGAATGACCTGGACGGGGGGCACAATGACAGTGGCTATGAGTCATCTTGAAACCTGTGTGGGAAGCATTTTTCCCAGGCCAGGTGGTGAGGGACCTCTCCCCATTAACTCAACACCAGGGATGGGGCCAGAGGAACCCTTTGATCCCTCCCTTCCTGAGCCCAGGCAGGAAGAGCTGACAACCGCCAGCGCCAAGACTGCTTGCTAGGACGCAGGACCGACGGGAAGTGGCAGAGGATCTGTCTCCCTTCCGCGTTGGTCCCAGGGTGTTGGTGGCAGTCACTGCCACGTGGCAGTGGCAGCCTGGACGTCACCTTGCCAAAGATGCACCCAGGCATTTCCCCTATCTTCCCTGCTCTGGGTGCTTGCTTCTTGCTTCCTGGACTGGTTAACCCTGGTGGCAGCAGTGACTGAGGACTTAGCCCACTGGAGGGCAGGAACCGTTCCCACGACATGGGTATAGAGGAAGGGAGAGGCCCAGAGTGCACAGGGATGAGCCTTGGAGCCAAAATCCCATGAAGCCTGGAGGGGCACCCAGTGCCAGGGTGTGAAAGCAACATGGACCCATGTGGTCAGCAGGTTGTATGGACTCAGGATTGAGAACACATCTCTCAGCCCATCCCAGTGTGCCTCTATTACCAGTCTGTGTGCATGTGGGAGGTGGGGGTCTATGCATACAGCGATGGGGGCTCACTGTTGGCACAGCAACCCGCCTCAACTTTGCGCCCCAAATGCACCCTGGGCCCCCTCTGTCCCAGGAAGCCTACGGGAGTGACAAACCACCTGCAGTTTTCCTGCAGGCACTGAGCACTGCTCTGGGGAACAGATACTGGGCACACATCCAACCCCAAGGCCACCGGGAGGGCGTGGAGCACTGCAGGAGGAAAGACCTCTGTTTTGGTTGTGTCCACATCTAAAGTGAGGAGTGCTCCCAAACTGAAGACGGTGCCAGTGCCTGCACATGGGGGTGCTCGGGGCACCTGCCTTTGCTGTGTGGCTCCTCCATCTTTTCCTGCAACCGTCACTCACTGGAGGGGCGCTGAGCTGCTGCTGGACACAGAGAGGACGGTCTTTCAGGCCGTTTCTATTTTAATACGTTGGACTAGAACAAGAGTCAGCATTCAGTTTCTCACTGGCTGCGTTCTGTGTTCTGGGTGGCCCCCCAAAGCATGGGGTTTCTCCCCTTGGCGGGCTCCATGGGTTTGCCCAACTAAGAGTTTGCGAACAGGAAGCAGCTGTTCGCCCGCTCCACGTGACTGTGTGTCAGCCCTCCTCTGGTTCGCCAGGGAGGGGCACTCGCTCATTTTCTGGTAGACTCTGTGATGCCCAGTGCCTCCTCTGGGCAGCCTGTTGTGCTCAGGCCAGACATCACTGCCCTGGACCCCTGCCTTTGATCCTGGGGGTGGGGTAGGGCAGAAGGGAGGTCTGTCTGAGCTCATCCAGCTTCTGCAGCTGGGGATGCAAGGATCTGAATTTCCAAAAGGCACCAGGGACATCTCCCTCTTTGCCATGCCGAGTGCTTCGGGAGCACCAGGGCACAGAGCGCAGTGTCTGCTGCAGAGGGCAGGGTGTCATTCCTGGGGAGGGGGGCACTCGGCAGTTCCCCACTTCGCCATGACACGGGAGCTTCCTTTCTCACATTGCCTTTCTTTTCCTCCTGTTTCTCTGGGCAAATCTGGGAGATGTCTGCTCTGTCCTCCGAGCGGGGGGCCAGTGTGGCCCCACCAGTCTGCTTCTTCTGGGGTTGGTCCCTCTGCTGGTAGGCATTCCCAGACTGCCATCCTTGATTCCATGGCTGACCCAGAGGCCGAACCATGCTCCTATTGCCTGTCTCCAGGTGCCCAGCTGCCAAGACAAGGAAGAAGAGTGACTTGAGACTTTCCATTTCTCATCGCCCTTCTTGCATCAGTGACGTGAAACAGGTAAACTCTGTTTGCCCGAGGTGGGATGGAGCCCTCTACTGCCCACTTTGCTTCCTTAGGTCCCACAGAAGAGGTCTTGGGAACCCAAGGACCGCAGAGCGCATGCAGGTAGCTGACACTGTTTTCAGAGCTGATATCCCAGTGCCACCTTCCCCAGGGGCCCACTTTTGCCCTCTCTGTAGAGTCCATTAGGTTTCTGCTGGTGCACTTCAGTGCCAGGGGCCCACCTGCAAAAGCCCAGGACAGGGTCAGGTCAATGGACTGAGCACTTACCTTGCAGTCAAGAGGCCCACATGTTCCAGCAGCCCCACCCAGAGAGAGCCCTGAGCACAGAGTTGAAGACAGCCCTGAACACCATCGGGTGTGGCCCGAACACCAGGAAAACAAGCAAAAGCTCAGGACAATGGAGCTTGAAGAACAGCACAGCACATAGGGGGTCTGGTCAGAGGTCCATTGGTTGGGGGTCAGTCCAAAGGGGTCCATTCTCCTGCACTACCACTGCAGGAAAGCTGGCCTTTTGCACACCTCTTCACACAGAGTGAAGCACCCATGGTCAGGCTAGGTAGGCATGGGGTACAGGCCCCTGTGGACAAAGGTCTTGGCCGGACTGGTCACACAACTCTCCCAGGGGAGCCTTTGGAGTGTGGGTAGCACACTCAGACTTGGCTGATGAATAAGTGCCTGTTCAGTGCTGTTTAAGCTTGGAGTTGCTGAGGGCATGTGTGGGGGGCCTCTGATGGTTGTGGCAGTTCCTGCTTTCTAACTTGGCTAGAGGGGTGTCCTGAGCACCCCTCTTCCCTCTGGATGAGGACATCCATGGAATGCATGGAACCCTCTGATGATAATAGTTGGCTGGGTGTGTGGCACTGATGTATACAGCTGTGGGGACAAGTGGATAAAGGATGGGAGTTGAGGCATTTCTTTCTGGGGAGGGTTGGGGTCACACCCAGTGGTGCTCAGGGCTTACTCCTGGCTCTGTGCCCAGGAATCACTCCTGCATGGGGATTCAGGGGGACCATATGAGGTGCTGGGGATCAAACCCGATTTGGCTCTCATACTATCTCTAGCCCTCAGATCACTAAAGGGGTGATCTCAAGGGTGCAAGATTGAGCACAAGGTGGGCAGTCATGTCCCACATGGGGTGTGTGGGAGACCATACCCTCCTGTCTTACAGGTTAGGGGTCTTGGTTTCCCTAGGAGCAGCAGAGCACTCTGGAAACAGCTGAGTAGGCTGTGGGGTCAGGCATCGCGCCCCCACCCCCTTGTGAGGGCTCCAGGGGACTAGGCAGTGATAGGTCCTGGAGGGGAGGGACTGGCCATCAATCCTGGGCACCCTCTGGCCCCCACAGATGTCCCTCCTGACCTCCCTCTCCCTCCACATCCTGACAGGAGCATAGCCCGGAGCCGGCAGTGGGGTGCGGGGCTGGGAGGATGGGGCGGTTTCCTGATATACCTCACACGTTTTCTGTATTTAAGTAAAACACAAGTTGCGCCTTTGATTCAATTCCCTTTCCTGCTTGTCGTGCTACTTCAAACCAGATGGTTCACAAGACGCACCTCTGGAGTCTCTGAGTCTCTACTTAAGTGCTGCCAGGTCTGCTGTGGGGAACGGCAGGGGCAAAGGCATTTGGTTAAAAGCGGCCCACATGGGGGAGAAGAAGCTTAGGTTTTAATAGCAGTAATTAAATTATCTTCTTAATTATAAAGAGGAATGGCGTTGTCGACATCCTTTATCTATCAGCTTTCCATGCGGAGAGTAGGCCCTTAATCCCCTCCTTCCAGCAGTGCACCCACATCTTCCCAGGCGGCTTGCAGCAGGCTGGCTGTTCCCGCGCTCACCTCCATCTGCGGGGCCCCGAGAGGGCTTGTGGGATCCGCCTCAACCCCAGGGGCTCTCAGTGGCTCCCAAAGCCTTCCCAGGGTGGCCCGAGCAGGGGCACTGGGGCTCGCTGCTGCTGGGACTTGGGGATCTTCATCATTCCCCCGCCACAGATGTGTGGACTCCACCCAGCAACCCTGGAAAGCGGCAGAGCCCTGACCTGTCCTGGGGAGACTTCTCACACACCCAGCCTGGGGGTACTGGTGTCCAGTCCCCACACCCATCTCCCGAGGGTGCAG